TAAATAAATAAATAAATAAAATCTTTAAACATAAGCTGCTACTGATAAACAGTTCGATTCAAGGAGGCAGTGAGCTCCCCATCACTCAAGGTGCTTACATGAAGACCCAACTCCCTATTGGAGAGGAAAAGCACAAATAAAAGCATCAGGGATGGGCTCGCATTGCACTGAAAAACGTCTTCATTTTTGGCGTTACCTTTGATGAAAATTACTCACATGGGCCCAAAGCCTCCTCCAGTCTGGGCATGGCCTAGGAGGCTCAGCCGCTGCAGAACATCTTATGCACAATGCCTGGCAGAGAGCGCCACACGGCTATGCTCTGAAGGAATAACTCCATGGGGGCGAGGGTACTGGTCTTGTAAGGAAGGCCAGCCTTTTAAGGAGGTGACATGCCCTGACCTATGTTTACAAGGGTCAGTCTGGCAGCATCGTGGGGCAAGGGTGGGGAGGAGACATAGAGGTGAAAGATCGTCCAAGTCCAGGGGAGACTTCCTTCCCACATCCTGTCCATTAGCAAACCCTGTCAGCCATGACCTCAGAATTATCCAGATTCTGGCCCCGTCTCACCATCCCCCCTGCCATGGGCCCAGCCTGGGGCCGCCATGGCCCATCCTGCTGCAGCTCAGGGGCCTCCCAGCTGGTCTCCCTGGGGCTGTCCTACCCTTCCCTACCTTCAGTTTGCATGCAGCAATCAAAAAGCCCTTTTGTAAACCCACGGTCAACTCCCTCCTCTGTTCAAAACCCTCCCAAAACTTCCCATCTCACTTGAAATCAAACTCCGAGTCCTCTAAAGGGACCGCCCCCACCTCTCTTTCCTTTTTTGCCCCAAGCCTGTTCCCTCCCCCGACTCCCTCCGCACCAGCCACACTGGCCTCTTGCCTCAGGACCTTTGCAGCTGCTGTTCCCTCTGCCTGGAACACTCTTCCTCCAGTTTTCCTGATGGCTGCCTTCCTCCCCACCTCCAGAACTTGGCCCCAATGTCACCTTCTTGTTGAACCATTCCCTGACCCTGCTATGCAAATCCAAACCACCGCAAACCCTATCCCCATTCCTCACTTTCTTTTTCTCCATAGCAAGGACCATCACCAAACGCATGACATATCTTTTTTGTTACTGTACTCTTCCTTCACTCCAAGGGGGCAGGGCATTATATTTGTTTTGCCTGTTTTATTGCTATTTCGCCAGCTGCTGGATCAGGTCCCCGCACATAGTAAGTGCTAATGAAATCTTCGCTGAGTGAATCTCAGGGAATCCTCACAACACCTTTTAAGGTAGGTGCCAGTCCCCAGGAGAGAGCAGAGAGCACAGGACTGTAACATGTGGCAGAGATAATGTCTCAGAACCTGTCAATGTGCTGGAAGGCACAAGGCAGGAGGAAGGAGATGGGGAGGCTCTTGGAGTTCCAGGTGTGGCTGGGAGGGTGGTGTCCCTGGGGCTGAGATTCTTGGCCCCTTTCAGAGGGCCCGGCTAACCGTGTAGCTTGCACAGCTCATCAACACTGCAGCCTCCCGGGAAAGACCTAGCTCTTCAGTGAAGGTTCCTGAAGAAACTCCTCATCCATCTATCTCCACCACCCCATAGTGGAAGTTTCTAGTCCAGTCCTCTCCTGAGGGACAATTTTGGGAGCAGGAAATGTAAACAAGAAGTGGGGGGTAGGTTGGGCCCAAGGGACACAGAGGTGATAACTGGGAGCACTGAGCTGGGAGTCAAGGGAACCCGTTCCAGTCCCATGTCTGGTCCACTTGGCTGTGTTATCCAGGCAAGTTGCTGGCCCTCTCTGGGCCTCAGCAATGTAAACACAAGGAGTTACCATGAGCCCCAAGGGAGGATTTTTTTCATTCATATTTAACTGGAGCTTAAACATGTCAAGACTTAAAACCTGTAATCAAGAAACCAAAAGTTCTTACCTCTCTGGGGTCTCCAAACAAATCAAGAGTGAAAAATTTCTGTGAAGACAAAGGCAGAGAGTGTGCGTGAGAAGGCTTCCAGGGACAAAAGCTAATCTTTGTGAGCGGTGTGCCAAGGGTATCAGGTTCTCCCTCCCGGTGCCACCCTGGCTCCCCTGGGCAGGGGCAGAGGTGTAGGTGTGGGATGGGGGTGTGGAGTGCTGGAGAAGCCGGCTCTCTGCTGTTCCTGCCTGCCTTGCCCTCCATCCATTTCCCCTTCTTGTTCCCTTAGACAACACTATCCCAGTCATCCTTTGGGGGACCGCCCTTTTCCCCATTTTCACTCCACAGATCGAGGCATCTATATGTAACCTGGGCTGCCCCATCTCCCTGACCACAGAGATTAGTTCAGGTATGGGCACATAACCATGTCAATCCAATAGACTTTACCCCAAAACTTTTGTTGGAATTATTGTGAACCGTGTCTAAACAGATAAGATGTAAGTCTAGATGCTCTCGCTGACTTTAACCTCCCCAGGGAACAAAGTTGCCTGAGAGTGAAGCCAGCACTGAGAGAAGAAAAAAAAGGCTGAGGGATAGAGCAGATATATTCTTAATAATACCATATGTGCATCTGGATCCAGCCATGCCTGAAACCAGTTCGTCACCCAAAGATTTTGTTACAACGTAGTTCTTTTTCCATTCAAGACACTTTGAGATGAGTTTCCTCATCCTGCATCAGAAAGTCCTGATTTATACAAGCTCACTGAAATTGACCCCACCCCGTGCTTCTCTTTGTTATATATTTGCTAAGATTGCACTGATTGTAATATTACACTGTAGCTAATAAGTCTGACCAGTATGCAGCGAGTGACCAGTCAGGCACTCCTTATTATGGGTTGTGGCCCTACCAGTCAGAGGTGTGTGTGTCTGTGTGCCTGTGTGTGTGTGTGTTTTGGGGAGAGTGGATAATCATGGAAAGACTCTACAGGATCTCAGAAAATCTCACAAGGATAACATAGGCCCTTAAGTCCTCTGGGTTTCCTCAAAACCACCAACTCTTCTCTTATAAGCTGGGTCCTCTTAAGCCAATGGAGAACTACTGAAATAAACCTGCCTCTTTCCAGGAATCAGAAGTGGTTGTGTTTTCATTCTTTGAATGCACTGATCACCTTATTTGAGCCTGAGAAACCAAGATCCAAGCCCCAAGGTCATATTGGAATCAAACCAGGAAACAGAGCAGTCTAGTGTCAGAGCCCTGGCCCTGGGGTCCAGGAGTCTCCTCAGGAGCCGAGGGCCTGGACAGAGAGTCCAGGGGGTCAGGCTATGCCCGAGCTCACATTCACACCCTTCCCCCACAGAAGGAATAGTTCCCATTGGGCCTTCCTGCTGTATTCTCTGGGTGTCCTTGTGATGAAACACTGTCATAGCCATCCATCAGTCCTCAAATGTCACCTCCTCTGTGATGCATCCCTGCTATTACGAGCATTTCCTCTCTCTATACTCCCACCATCCTTAACCTACGAAGTATATGAGTGTGTTTCTCCTTGGATAGTTCCTTGTCAGCACACTATATCTGATTAATGTCTGCATCACCCCCCCCCCAGTTATCCTTTCCATACACCTAGGATGGATGGATGGAGGGATGGATAATGGATGGAGGGATGGATGGATGGATGGATGGATAGATGGATGGATGGATGGATGGATAGATGGATGTATGGATGGATGGATGGATGGATGGATGGATGGATGGATGGATGGATAGATGGATGGATGGATGGATGGGTAGATGGATGGATGGATGGATGGATGGCTAGATGATGGATGGAGTTGGTCACTACATGGAGTGTGGATGAACTGCATGGATAGGTAGATAGATGAATAATAACTAGCTGACTAGGTGTTGGATGGATCACTGATTCTGGATTGTTGAATGTTGGGGTGAAGATATATGGTGGTTGGATGACACACGGATGATGGAAATGAATGAAAGTTATGGATGGATGGATATTAAACTGATGAAAGAATACTGATAGATTGGCAGATGAATAGATGGAAAATAAGATGATGAATGGATTGATGGATGGTTGAATGGATGGGTGGGTGGATGTATGGTTATTCTAGAACCACAACTGAGGCAGAGTCTCAGGCCACCACTGGGTTATAATTGAGGTAGTTTCTAAATTAAGCAAGATACAGTGTGACAACCTTCCTTAAAATCTTTGTTCTTAATATCCCATCCTCAAAATTCAGAACAGTAGTTACCTCTGGGAATATGTAATGCTTAATTTCTTTAAAATACATTTGGAAACAAGAATGGGAAAACAGTGAGTTTGGGTTGAGGTGAGAGATTATCAGACAATTTGTTCATTATGTTGTTTTTCAACTTTGCAAATGTTTGAGATACTTCATAATAAAAAAGAAAAAAAGAAATTCCCATTCAGATCCAGAGGCTGACACTGTTCCCCGGGGGCCAGGAACACTGTCCCAGGCAGTTTTCTGGGGCAGGGGCAAGGGGACAGCTGAAATAATGAAGCTTGGGGCCAAGTGCACAGGGTGGGGGGCTTGTGCGGTCATGAGAATGGATATGCCTACCATCTTCAGCGATGTCTCCAAGAGCTCATCCTCCGTCTTCTGGCGCAGGCAGTGAACAAGGACAGCTGAGGAGGTGGTTTTACACCCAGCAAAGACACCAATTTGCTGCAGAGATCACAAGCAACTGCAGAACTCAAGAGACATGTCCCTTCCCTCGATCAATAAAGAGGTGTTCTACCCCAACCTTCATTTCTAAAGGCAGCAGAGGGGAGCAGAACATACTCTAGACCAGCAGGTGAGGGTCCTGGGTCCCAGTCATGCCAATTAAATAAGCTCTGTCTCTGTTACCTTACCTCTGTTCACATGGGCAAAATGATCTGAGAGCTGGAGTGTCGAAAGGGAGGGAGCACAGAGTGGGGCTTAAGAGCACAGAATCCAGACTCACACTGCCTGGTTTCAAGTTTCTTTTTAGGAAGCCTTTTGTGATAACCTCAACCTAGTGTGTAGGGTTAAGTGTTCCTTTTGGATTCCATTATGACATCAGATACCTCTGCTTTATTGCTCTTATCAGGTGAGATTTTAGAATCTGTGTGATTATAAAATCATTAATTTGTCTCCTCTAATAGAATGCAAACTTCACGAGGCTACTAGATGTCTGGCTATATCAAAATTATGTGATGAATAAATGAATGAATGAATGAATGAATTCCCAGGAACCCACCCCAGCCATGAGGCACTTAAGGGGGGGCCACTCCAGGCCCACATGCTGCAAGTGGGTTGACCAGAACTCAGACCCTGAGAGAGACCAGACATGGTGACAGTCCACTGCCCACCACGTGACCTGGCACTCCACCTTGGCACATTTTGGAAAGAGTGCTCAGGGGACAGCGCACTGCGTTGGCAGTCCAGGGTCACCTGTTCAAGTCCCAGTTCTGCCCCAATTGCTCCTTGACCTTGGCAAGCTGCTTCCACTGTCTGCCCCAGCTTGTTCAGCGGTCAAACTGGGAGGCTGGCTGAGGTGTCTCCTTGCCCTACCACTCAACTGTTCTCACTTTGGTGATTCCTTGACGATGCCCACTGGATCCCATGGCAAGAAAGGCCCCTGAAGATTCCAGGAAAGCAGAGCCAAGGGTGTGGCGGTGGTCCAGCGCGAGACCTACCTGAGCTGTGTCCTTCATGTCTTTCTTAACCAGGACAGCTGTGAGGGCCACACCGCTCTCAGAGATGGCCCGGTGGAAGAGGTTTTTGGCCAGGGGAGACAGCACCTGGCAGGGGAGTGGACAGGAAGAGAGTTTATGCTCATGGGGAGGGGTCTTCAAGAGCCACCTCATCCTTAGCTCTGGCCTGGCCCATTCCCCTGGAGACTCGGGCACCCAGGGAACGTGGGAGGTCCTCACCTGGCCTGGCCCTGTTCCCAGGCTGACGCTGGGGCCCGGCTTCTCCAAGAGAAGCTCAACTGGAGGGAGCCAGCAGCACAGAGCGAGGGAAGGACAGGAAGAATGGCACATGCACTGATTGTTAACAATCAGAAGTATCTAAAAACAGCGTGGCAACTCCTAGCCATACTTTAAAGACACAGTTCTGTATCCCCATTTCCACTACTCAGGATTTATGCTAAGAAGAGTGATCATGGAGGTGCACAATGATTTCCAAGAATGCTCATAATGTTTATAATATAATTGGAAATAACCCAAGGTTCCAGTATTATGAGATTGAGGGAATAAATGATTTTTTGTTTTTACTGTGGAATACTGTGCAGATCTATACCATGGAATCCCATGGAATCTAAAACAAAATGATATTAATGGAAGAGTAATGTTTAGGGAAATGTTTCTGTTGTAGGATATGCTAAGGAAGGTTTTTAAAAAAAAATCTTAAGACAGGTGGGGCGCCTGGGTGGCTCAGTCAGTTAAGCGTCTGCCTTCGGCTCAGGTCATGATCCCAGGGTCCTGGGATCGAGCCCCGCATCGGGCTCCCTG